CCACTGTTCCCGCTTTGACACTGAGCCATCTCTGGCCGCTCACTCAATTGCCACTGTTTTCTAGGCCCAGAATCCTCCAGCTTGTTCTTTTTTATTGCTCTTTTCTCAGCCTTGACAAGACTGCTTGGGAACTTAAAGATGCAACTTCTCTACATACTATAGGTTTGGCTATCATGTTTGATCATGTGTTGGGATCCTCCTTATTTACACCACTGTTTTACACCTGCTTTGGTTATGCTGACAATCCCTTTTAACCAACTCCACAAGTAAACTCCAGCTGCTTCTTGTGGCTCTCTGCACTGGGGGGGATGGGGAGGGAGGGAAAGGCTTCAGTACACTAAGTGCCTCCTGGCCAGTGGCTGCCTCTGGCATCCCAACCCATCCCCTCTTGCATTCCAACTCCCTCCCAATCCCTGAATCTCCCTCCTAAACTTTTCCCTAGGCCAGAATACTCCCCTGCTCCTATATTCCTTCCTGGACTCTGCACTAAGAATGTAAGGGCTAGTCGACAAGTCAACTATCTGATAAAGCAAATGCTTATCGGATAGTCGAGTCGACTAGTCACTCCCCACCCCCTTGCTGCTTCTATTAGAGGTAGCAAAGGGGAGTGGGGTAGGGGGTACTTAAAAGCGTCAGTGCTGCACAGAGCCTGGATACGGGCTACATTCGGCACTGCTGCTTTGAAACACTGTGGCAGCGTTTCAAAGGGGCAGTGTGGCAGAGCTGATCCCCGGCTCAAAGCAGAAGTGCCCACGTGGAGCCTGGAGTCAGCCGGACTTCCGGCTGGCCCAGTGCTGCATGTGGAGTTCCAGCTTTGAAATGCAAACAACTTTGAAATTCCTCAAAGGAGTAATGGGGAAGTGCCTGTCAAGCAGTCAATGGAAATTCCATCGACTACTCGACTAGTAAATTAATCGATATTTACCATCCTTACTCTGCATCCCAGTCTCCTGCCCCAGGTCATAACTCCCTCCATCCAAACTTCCTCTCAGACCCCAGACCGTTTCCTGCACCCCAGTCCGCTACCAAGCTTCCTTTTGCACCTAATCTCCATCCCAGACCCTGCACCTCCTCTATAGAAAAGTGCGTGGTCCATGACCACTTACCAAAATCTTGCAGTGGCCTTGCTACCTACTAGTTCTGTGTTCTTGGGGAGACTGGGCATGATACTCATGGAGAACGAACACACCCACCCACCAAGAAAGCAAAGGAAGGGGACCACACACCCAAATCCCTCCTGACAACGGCAATAGAAAAGGAAACTCCCCTAGCCTCATCTGCATGGAAGATAGAGCAGACAGACATCCACATTAGCATACAAGAATGGAGAATAGTACTTGCAAAGCAAAAGCTGCACTGAACTATGGGATACCGAAAGCAGAAAAGCACTGCCTGGTGGGAAATCTCTGCTCCAGGTGCTAATGAATCCAGGTCTGCTCATACCCAAATCAATAATTATCAGACCAAATGTAGTAATAGAGCCTCTACTGATATCTAAAACACAAACTGCCTAGCTCGTTATGAGGTCTCTCAAGAAACATCACCCATAGCCACGAACGATCCATTTCTATTATCTAGCCTAAATAAAATTTTAGAATACAGGCAGTCCCCGGGTTATGTACAAGATAGGGACTGTAGGTGTGTTCTTAAGTTGAATTTGTATGTAAGTCGGAACTGGTACATATTGTAGGGGAAACTCTAGCCAAACATTTCTCCAGAGCTCAGTTTTATTCTCCCACACCTCACTTCCCTCAGTCCTTTATTCTCAAGCTGAGGTGTCTGCTGAGAAAAGCCGCTCCGCGTCTCCCTGGTCTGCTGGGGGGAAGCAGCTAGTGCAGGGTTGCTTCACCCCGTTTGTAAGTAGGGATCCGATGTAAGTCGGATCTGTGTAACCCGGGGACTGCCTGTACTCTCTTGAACCATCTGTTTACCCATAAACCTGTGTTTCCCAAATGGTGCTCCGTGAAGTGCAAGTAAGGGTTCTGTGTGAACTCACAACTCCCCTCCCCTAAAGAGACAGCTTCCCCCCCGCTACCAATTTTCCTGGCTGGGGTTCCTCGAAATTCTAAAAGGGTTCCGTGGCCAAAAAAAGTCGGGAAACACTGCCATAAACAAATCCAGTGTTCTCCTTGAACCATTATGTCCCTACAAAAACTCTTACTGTTGCTCAAGAAAAGTGTTCTGATGCCTTCATCAAATGTTTGTATCAGTTCCACTGGGACTTCATTTGTTCCTGACTGATCGTGCTAGAGGCTCTGCTCTGCCTGGTTCCAACCCTGTGAACCCCCAGCTACCATCACCATCTTGGAATCTCCATCAGTTCAAGCCTCATGGAGCAGTGAGGTGTCTCTCTCTCTTACTCACATCCCTTGCCTCTCTCTAGGTCAGTGCTCACTAACCACTAGATTAAGATCTACTGGTAGATCTTGGAGCCTCTAACAGATGATCCTGACTGGTTTGGCCAAGAAACTATCAAGTTCTGGCACTTCAGCTGTCTCTTCCCCCACTGCTGCACGTTTCCTGCCCTCTGTCTTAGAGCTGCCTCCCCGCATCCCCAGGAGCCTCCTGCTTGCTGTGCAGGGCAGAGAAGAGGGGCACTGATGTCAAGGTGCCTCCTCTCTCACCCTGTATTCTATCGCCACAGGTTGTTTGCTGGCTGCTTTTGAGAGTGGTACAGGGCCAGGGCATGGGTGAGCCTGCTTTAGCCCCACTGCACTGCCACACGGTAGCCACCTGAAACCATACCCCTGTCATGAACCCCCTCCTTCACTCCTTGACCTAGCCCCAAACACCCTCCCAGAGCCTGCAGCTAGAACCCCCTCTAGCACTCCAACTGCCTGCCCCAAACTCAGCTCCGAGCCCCTCTCACACTGCAAATCCATTAGCCAGTGCAGGCTCTGGTCTTGGATTCCTGCCTACTCCCCTCCCACCCACTCCTGCTACCTCTGTAGGGGGGTGCAAGGGCAGGAAGATCCAGTACTTGTGGGGACCCGGCTTTTAAGCCGGCTCCCTCATGGACACCAGCACCGGCTCCTGATCACCTTTTCCCCTCCCCCCACCCCGCCACCCCACTGCCTCTGATGCGGCGGCAGAGGGGGAGTGCATGTAGTCAACAGCTTTAACCGGAAAGCCCAAATTTATCAGTTAATTATGTAGTTATTTACACATTGACATTCCTAGCTCAAAGTAGTTCATCTCCATGATTTTCTAATGGACTATTTCAACATAAGAACGGCCGTACTGGATCAGACCAAAGGTCCATCTAGCTCAGTATCCTGTCTGCCGATAGTGGCCAGCACCAGGTGCCCCAGAGAGGGTAGACCGAAGACAATGATCAAGCGATTTGTCTCCTGCCATCCCTCTCCAGCCTCTGACAAACCATTTCAGAATCCATGACGCTTAATTAAATGTATATAACTTTTGCTTTGTTTTGCAAATAACTAAACACAATCCATAGTTATGTGAGTTGCAAAAATTGTGAAGTCTTTGCTCTGTAGGGGATAGGCATGTAGTGCTTAAGATCTTCAAAGAACTTCCAAGCTCTCTGAGTGAAGTCTGAACTAGCTGCATATAGAAGTTTATTTTGCATCACTGCATACACCCAGTTTACAACATAAAATGATCTACTGTTTGTACTCCATACTGTTTTAAAACTGATAAAAAGTTTGTGAAACAGCTACTTTGGAAGCCTAGCAATGACACTGTGCAGTTGGGATTATTTAAAAACAAAACTTCAATTTTCAAAGTTCATATTTTTAGAATTAGATGAACAAAAAATACCATGCACAGCAAATAACCTCAAAAACAGTCACACTGCACAAGCAGGAAACCATTTATTTCCCCCAAAATGTTATAATTCCAACTGCATAAAACAGCTACAAGCATCTGTGCACAAACACTCATCTTCAGGCCAACAAAAAACATTTGAAGTTTCATCCAATAGTGATAGAGAGGGTGTGTTTGTTTTTGGTTTGTTGGGGTGAAGTGCAGTTAAGATTAATTTAGAAACGTGTTTGAATAGAAGCATTACAACAGAAACTCAACTTCTGAGGCAAAAAGCAGCAGCAGAAAAAGGTTCTAACAAAAGAGAGAACTTTTGCCCAAGAACACAGGCACAAGCATCTAATCTTCCAACACCATTGCAAACTTTAGGGTCTGCAAGAGGCAGGTAGGACCTTGCTTTGATGTCTTTTTGCCTATCCCTGCCCCCTACTCCCAGCCTGCAAGACGCTCTTTCTAAAGACACAAAGCCGATTAATTGGAGTGCCCAGAGGCTGCCACACGTTCATCTACAATACAAATATTGCATTCCGGGAGAGACAAGCAGACAGACACAGCCAGCTCTCCTACCATGCCTGTCTGCATCCCTCCCTGTGATTTCAGTCATGCAGCAGGGTCACCTGAGGGTTTTTTGGCTATAATTTCTCCTCCCTGCTACCAGGATCTGTTGTGCTGCTAGCTCTTTAGGAGCCCATCTGGAGCTGCTGGCAGTACAGATGAAGCAGCAGCATGCTGTCCCAGGTACGGGACAGGAACTTTGGGAAGGAAGAGGTAGACCAGTGGTGATCCAGACCACCCAAAACCTCACAGGCACTGAGGGCATCCCAGGCTCTCCCATCCACTAGGCTTCACCCAAGACAGCTCCCTTGCCACAGGCTGCTTCAGGCTCGCTCCCCCCCTCCAGCCGCTCCTTCTTGGGAGACTGGGCCCCATCAGTAACAACTCCCAAGCTTCCTCCCCGTATTCCCTAGCTCCGTGGCTCCTCGCTGCCGCCGCTCGGGCTCCCCCCGACACCTGCTACGCGTTAGCTCCCGGCCCCCCTTAACTGTAGCGGCGCGTGGGGAAGCCGCCTCCGCTCGACCCCACCCACGCGCGTTTCGCCGGCGCAGGGGAGACACTCGCGGGAACTTTTTGAAACGTGGCCCGGTCGCGCCGCAGCCGGCCCCAAACCCCACCCCTGCCGCGGAGCAGACAAGTGGCCCCGGCGATCCCGGCCGCACCTTGCCTCCTGCCGCCAGACATGCTCCGGCCGCGCACGGCACCCGACCCCGACAGCGCGCCCCAGCCTGCCGCGGTTCCTGTTCTCCCTCTCCAGCCGGCCGCGCCCACCGGCGGCTGGGGCCGGCGCCCATTGGCGCTAGCGGCGGAGGGGCGGCCCCCATTGGGACGCAGGGCGGACCTTCCCAGCATGGCGGCTGCGTGCGGACAGCCCTGCGCCCGGGGAGCGCGGCTGCGCAGAACGCGCGAGCCGTGTGGAGAGCGGGGGTTTGACAGCTGCAAGCTCAGCAGCGGCAGCAGCAGCCCCGGCGGCAGCAGCGCATGGCTAGCGCGAGGGGACTGGCAAGCGGTGCAATGCCCCGGCGTGTGTGACCGCTGCGGGGGAGAATGCTAGACCCACGCCGCTTCTTTCCCACCGCCGCCGCCTCCTGCCCGGGCTTCCCCCTGCCTTGACCCGCCAGCCCAACATGCAACCCGGCATCTTCTAAATCAATAATGTACTAGAATGTCAGCGCTGAAAAAGGTAAGGACACGATGATGGGTGTCTTCTGCCATGCTGCTGAGCGCCCCAGGCTGGGGACAGTGCCGCTCCCCGGCTCATGTAGCCTCTGCTTCAGGCGAGGAGACCGGGGGCACAGTGGTCAAGGATTTGCAGGACTTTGGGGGGTAAGCATGAAACGATAGAAGTGAAACGGCTGGGCTGAGTGTGAGTCTTGGGCGGCAAAGTCTGAGAGACTCTTGTTAAAACCAATGAGACATGCAGCTGCTGAGGGTGTTCGGGAGCGAGGGCACAGCTGCTGCTGCTGGGCTTGTTTTGTGGGCGCAGCTAATCCTGTTGGCATAGTGGGGGCGGTGTGGCTGTTGGGGGTGGAGGAATCTGTTGAGGTGTCGGGGAGGGGGCTCTTGTGACATGCTGGTCTTAGCAGGAGCTGCTTGGTTGCAATCAGGTGGGGTGGGCGTCTGCAGCTGTGCCTCAGGAGGGCAACGGCAGCAGGTGCTAGCAGGGTTGTTGTAGGTGCTAGGGATGGAGTTGCTGCTCATCCTGAGGGCTACAAGAGACGGTCTTTCTCATCGCACTGCATGGAGGACGCATCCGCTGCTGAGCACCGCTGGGATGTTGGGTTTGAGCAGCTGCGGCTGGGGTGGCTGGTCGCCGCTACTCTCGGGTCCCAGCACTCCCGCCGATGAGGCTGCAGCGGATTTGGGATGCTGCCGCCGCTGGGTGTGCAAGGTGCTGGCCGGCGGCCCTAGGTGCGAAACCATCAGCTGCGGCTCTTCTCGCTGAAGGAAAGGACGGTGGCAGTTGCGCTTTTTTAGCCCCGCGAGCAAAAGTGGAAGCCATGCAGGAGGCTGGCGCGTGGAACTGGGACTGAGGGTGGATTTGCGGTTAAAAGAAGCATTTACACAAAACGCGCGCGCGCTCCCTGCCTGTTTGGAACACACGGAAAACATGTAAATTGTGTATGTCACACACTGGCCGGCGGAGCGGGGGGGGCATCCCCCCCAGATGCATTTTTTATGCAGTAGGGCAGAGTGGGGCGCTGAGCTGTAATGGAGAATTGATGTACGGCACGGGGACAGCGTGCATTTGATGTCTTTGCCTGCAAAGGAGGCAAGCGCTGCAAGCGAGGGTGGTGGGTTTCAACAGACCATACTTGTAAGGGTTGCTATGAGGATGAAGCCAGAGGAAGGGCTGGTGTAACCAAGCCGCCTCTACCTCTTCGTGGTGCGCTGCACTGGCGGCGGGGGGTGTGCTCCTGCGGACAGCAATGTGCACTTGTCCCGGGGCACTGGCTTAGGGAGATGCCGGGCTGTGTGTGATTATTACCCCGCGTGCGGAGGTAACTGAGAGCTGGCTCGGGCTGCAAGGGTTGCGCGGGGGCTGCTAAGGTGAAGGGAGGGGCGGGGAAGAGAGAGAATGGGCTCGCGGGGAGTTTGGATTTGGCGAAAAAGGAGGAGATCCATGTCCCTAGCTGTGGTATCTCAGTCCACACCCAGCGCGCTCGCCGGCTCCTTCGCACGCTTCTCAAGAAATTGCAGCCAAGATGCTGCTGCCCTTGCCCGGAGCTGGGGTGCTGCTGCCTGTTGGCTCTTTGCAGTCTGCATCTTGTTTCAAAAACCAACGAAGGCCAAGCCATCATGTTGCGTGTCTTATTCATGGAACCAACTTGGAAAAGGTGAAGCTCCAGTGACTTCCCATCTTCCTAAACTGGGAGATAAAGGGAGGGGCGGTGTGGGTACAGGGGAGATGACTAGGTCGGAATTATATCCCAGATAGAGATCAGGGAATTTGGAGGATTGCTTTTCGGAAACCCGCACCGAGTGCCTTTGTGGCAACCAAAATCATGTAGTCAATTGGCATTTTCATGCAGCTGCATTTGATTTACTAGACACGTTATGTACTATGAATTACAACTATTCATAATAATAATAAGAGTTTAAATACGCCCTTTGCGGTGGGGAATCAATTACAAACTAACGTGTCTAATTACTTTATGGAATAAAGGCTTGAACACTTGTTTAGAAGCCCTATTGTGCTCATGTGTATCAGGGAGCTAGACCCAGAGACACACTATTCCCCCCACTGTAACAAAGTCAGATCTAATCTGTAGGAATATGATGACTGAAAAGTTATAAAATACTTCTAATATGTCACCTCCCCCCCCCCATCTTTATTTTCTTTTGGAAACTAGTAGATCATATAAGGTTTATGAAGCGGGAGAGGCCATATTGCAAGAGCGG